TCTTAACATTTAATTGGGCGGCCAACACACAAAAAACACCTTCACCAAAGCTGAGTGTCCGTCTCCCGAGGGGAATCTCAGCTCTGCCAGCACTTTCTCGCTGCTTGTCGAACCGGGCCTCCGAAGTTGAAATACCTATTTCTTTGAAAGGTTCTAGAATTCTTGAAAAAGAAGCACTGTAGGTGTTAGCTAGGAGGGGTTCAGGGTTTAGCTCATGGGGTTTGGGGGTTGTGCAACATTAAGGGCATGCGATTCGAATCTGAGCGGACCTGCCGTGGCAGCAGTGCACGAGGGTAAGGCACTCTGCAGGCTGGAAGCGCTTGAACGATAGTTTTCCCCACCTCAGCTGTGGCACTGTTGCTGCAGCTGGTCTCGTTTGTGGTGACGCGTTCTTCAGGAGTGGTAAGAATAAGGTAGAAGCCTCAATAGTTAGAATAGGGTTTTGGGGTCTATTATGCCACAACTATAATAAGGAAATCCCAAAATAGTGTTGGGAATTGCTTAGGCTCCTGTAGTACTCTGTTTTCAGGAGGGCGGCTCTTCGATTCGGGCTGGGAGCTCTCTGTTGGTTTCCTGCAGCGTCTAGCTCAAGAGAAACTCCTGCGGAGTTCTGTTGCAGCTTGGGGTATCTTGAGGGCACATTTATCGGATCTATCGTTTAGTCTGCTACAAACCCGAAACAAGCGGGACAATGACATGATAGCTTCTCCACGCGAGTTCCAGGAACCTTCCGCCTTACAACGAAAAACGTCTGATATAAGGGCCTTAATAATTCGAATAGGGTTGTGGGACCCTTGGTACTATACTTACAATCTGGAACCCCCCAAAAAGTAGCAGCCGTCTGAGCTTCGAGCATGAGCATTCTGAGCCGCTCTCGCAGATCGTATGGGTTTCCGGGTCGTGGCGGAGGTGCCGTCTCCTGGGAGGCTCCCAAAGGCCCTATTTTCTGAACCACACATCCGACACACAAAAGCCTGGTTCCCTGTTGGGGCTATATTAATCATGTCATTTTTAATCCTTATTTGTTTTTCTTACAACAAAAATGTTAAGTTGTAGCCAACAAGGACCCAGAAGCCTCTAAAGCTTCTAAGGCCTGAACCCTAAACCGGATAATTAGGATCCACGGCCGGCTTCTGCACGGCAGTGGCAGGGATGAAACAATCATCATCCACGTCACCATGACCATGACAATCCCAATTCTCTTGGACCTCGCATCACCATGAGCTCCGATCATCCCTGATCCTGCAGTTGAAGCATGCGGGCGGTTTCGTCTCCAACTCCTCCATCGTCTTCTACCACCCGCATCGGCAGCCCCCCTCCCAGTTTCATCAGCAGAACCATAGCTGCGATCAGCACAGCTTCGTCAACAACAACAACATCATCATCATTAAACACACAGGCAATCCTTCGTAGCCAAGCTGCTTCCAGTCTTCATCATTAACATGCCAGTGCTCATGTTGTCAACGACAGCGATGAAGATGACGACGACGTCAGCCATGATGATGATGATGATGATGATGACGGTGATGATGACGGTGGTGATGACGGTGGTGGTGATTCACCACTACCGTCGTCAGCATCACCACCATCAGCATCATCATGAACGTCATCGCCACCATCGTCATCATCATCATCGTCATCGTCATCCTCATCTTCATCATCATCATCGTCATCGTCATTGTCCTGATCAACATCATCACCATAATCATCGACATCGACATGGTAACCACCGTGATGATGATGATCATCGTCACCGTCCTTAGATCAATGTGACCGCCACCACTATCAGCATAGCTATGCTGTTGACCACCGTCCTCATTTGATCGCCAGCTGCGACGGTTACCATCATCGTCGTCTTTATCTTGGAAGTTGCTGTTGAGGTTCTGCGACTTCCATCAGGATGTGCTGAGCGTCTTCCTGCGGTTCGTGTCGCAGGATGTTGCATCTCTTACGGGACCTACCTCCCCCAATGGATTTTGAAATTGCTGGCATGGCCTTGCCTCTGCTCCAGAGCTTTGTGTGCGTCTCAACTTCTTTCCAACCACAACTCGAACCCTGATTGCTACTGGGTGCTACTGGAGCTGCAACGAGGGTCCCAGAGGTCTCCCACCGTGGCTTGCAATGCCACGTCCACGGGTCCGCGCCAGGGAAAATCCCGCCAGCCTTCAGCTGCAAGCTCAAAGTACAAAGACACCTGGGTCGTGGCTATTTTGGGTCTGTTTTGGCTCTCAGGGGCTTCATGTCTATGGGATCTGGCGGCCTAGGGCTTGTAGGGCATGTGCGTTTTGAAAGGATGCTGCTAACGAGCCTGCGACTACCGCTCGCCAATCACGGAGGCCGTCTTGAGCAGGATCAAGGCTCATGAAATAGTAATCATCTCCATCACAACAGTAATCATTAGGTAATAGTCATGGCAACGCACCTTCGACGCTTCGCTGGATGAGCTCGTCCTCATTTCACGAGTGCCGATGGAGGCCGGAAGCGCCTCAGTCATGGACTGCAATCTTGAACTTATTTCTGGTCTAAGGTTTGTGGGCCCCTTATGTTTCTGCTCCTGCTTTGGGGTTCGTGGTTGAATCGTGAACCACCAAAGGCTGTGGTCAAGAGAAGGAACGGACAAGTAGCGCCCACAAAGAAACAAAGAAGCCTCGAGGGCAGGGGGAAGATCTTCCTATAGTATCTTCACGCTTCCACGACGCCCCGGAGCTCAAAGTGCCCGAAAAGTCCCGACTCTACTATGTAAGACCGAAGATTCCACGCCCAAAGCGCGAAGCATGGTCTCCCTGCACGTTGGGTCCGCGACTTCCCAGAATCCACTCTTAAAAACCATGGGTCGTTAAGATTTGACTGCAAGGCTCCAAGGAGCAAGCCCACGGAACCAAACCCCTCAGACACACACCAAATACACTAACACAATCACTAAAACTCCTAAACCTCTTCATGAGTGATGGCCGTACGTACAGGTCCCTACATATTAAGGATCCCACTCACAGTCTAGTACAAACCCCAGCGCCTCGCTCATCGGCGTGGACTTGACGCAGATGAGATGGGAGCCCTCCTCTGGAACGACAGCTGGAGGTTGCCCTGGTTTCTACGGGGTCTGCAGAAAACCTATAATTTCGGAAAGTAAGGGACCGAATATGTATGTTCACGATCTTAGAAGCAAATGATTGCGTTGAACCAGGTAAACTATGTTCTAAACGCCAGTTCCTGAGAGACGAACCTGCTGAGTCTGATGCAAGCTCGATGCACGCGATGTTTATGATCAAGACGGAGGCAAGAAGATGTGAATGGGACTTCGAGGAGCCCCTGTTTTTCGACACTCCCAAATGCCTGAAGCCGAAGATCCTGAACACTGAAATCCAACTTCTGAAACGTGTGCAAGAAGCAAGATGGTCAAACCTGAAATTCAGCTGTCCCTCAAAACCAAAAAAGCCCCAAAGCCTCAACCGTTAATTGCTGACAAGACCTTGACTTTTGAAAACGACGAAGACGCCCGCAACAAGAACTTAACACACTCAGAACAACCCAGCTCAGCTTCTTCTTCTGTCCTGTCCTGGACCCCCAGCTCCTTTAGGCTGCATTCCCAATCATTTTGAGAAAATGTCCGGGAACCCAATGTCAAACGTAGGTACCTGGGATTCGACTCCGGGGAAACGCCTTGGGCTTTGTTCTTTTTGAGGGTAAAAGGGTCTAAGGTTTCGGGCTCTTGGAGTGTAAGGGAATAGGAGTTGGGGGTGAATTTAACGTTCATCGCCATCTTGGGGGAGATCCGGAACATGTTGTGGGTAAGGGCTGCGGCCCGCCACAAACAAGCAAACCTTGCGTGGAAACAAAATATGCGAACCGGAGTGCGACAATATGAACAGTAGCCGTTTGCATTCATTGGCAGTTTAGGGGAGGGGCTGTTTTCAGGTCCTCGGCACTGCAGCAACCCCAGCTACAAACAAAGTGCAACGCCGGGGGTCTATTGAGCACAACACGCTACATGGTAGCAAGCCCCGTCCAATGCCAATTAACAGTGGCATCACCATGATTGACTTTTATCTGAGTAGATTAGTGGAGCGCCGGCATTTGATCCATCACCGGCCTACGACCAAGAGTCGAATCATGACGACCTAAACTTGCAGAGCACGCTGCCGCATAGATCACATCACACAAGAGCTATATACATATACATATACATATTTACATATACATATTTACATATACATACATGCATGCATGCATGCATGCATGCATGCATGCATGCATGCATACATACATACATACATACATACATATATGTAAGTACAAAGAGACGCTCTTGTCTAGAAGAGCGTCTTTGGTCTTGATGCTCGTGCCGTCCTGCTCCCGCTTTTTCAACGAGGAACCAGACACCCCCGCGCCCAAACCTTAACCGTAAAGCCTTAAACCTAAACACCAAAGGCCTAAACACCAAAGGCCTAAACCCCTAGACTCTAAATCCTATCCCCCTAAACCCTAGTCCAAAGCCCTACCTCCCCCTCTCACCCCGCCGCCACAGGAAAAGGCACTGTTGGGGATAGCCCATCTGCTCTCCAAGCCGGCGGAGCAGCTCGTCGAGGCTCCTCTTCGGTCAAAAGTGTGATTTGTGCCTCTGGTGCTGTTTAGAGTCGAGCTGGTCATTGGAGCCACATACGCAACCACAACGCGCTTCAGCCGATTACACCAATGCCAACATGGCTACCGGCTAACATCAATGGCCAACCCAGCCAACCTTGCCCGTGTAGCAGTGGGGCTGAGGTGTAGGAGCCATCCCTAAGCGCTCATGGGATGTCATAAGCTTTCAATTTTCGACGAAGGTTGCCTGTGACCAGAGCAAACGGAGAGGAGGCGCCCCACGACGGCAACAAGCTGCTGCAATCTTAGCCCTAAGCCCCAGCAATGCTTCCACGCCCAACCGCTGAGATGGAAGCCAGGTCGGAAGTTCGACGTGCTTCCGCAAGGCCAAGTCCCGGAAGAACGCTTGGGCCGGCCGTCTTTCGGAATTTCAAGACTGCCATCGTTGAAGTGCCCATGAGGTGTACAGGGCTGTGTGGCTTGTTTTGCTGCAAATTGCACGTGTCCAAATTCAATTGGAGGACTGCTCAGCGTATCCTGCTTCAGGCTGCATCGAGTACTACTCGTGGTTTCTCATGTCCCGGTCCTGTTTCGGTCAGTGTCCCGTGTTGCGTCCAGCCTTTTAGTACCCTTAGAGGCAGCCTCAAGATCCTAAAGCGCTGTACTGTGCCGCTTCGGGCCACTGGCTCGGAGTACGGGCATCGGGCTTTAGGGGCCTCAGGTTTAGGGGTTTTAGGGCTTTCGGGTCGGTTTGGAGTTTTAAGGTTTAGCTGAACCCGAAACGTAGGCCAAGCAAAACCCGCGTTTAACGAAACCCGAAATTAAGGTTTAGCTAGATCCGGCTTTGAAGTCTAGCCACCCGAAATTCAGCTTGAGCCAAACCGAAATTAAGGTCTAGCGAAACCGCTTGAGTTGGATTCCAGTGTCAGCTGAGCTGCGCAGAACGTAGTAATGTAGACCCCCTGCGTAGTAAAGCTTGTGAGCCCGAAGCCCAACAGCAACTCTCAACCACGGTTGTGTGAAAGCACTAAAATTCTTCATTGAAGGTTTTTAGTGGGCCCACCGAATTCCCGAACCCCCCACACCACCGCCAAAACTGTAAGCCGGTCGGAACCTAAGGACAAGTATTATTCATTCGCAAAGAACTTCTATCGTACAACCGCCATGAAGCAGGTCCTGGGCCCCATCCGCGGATGTCGCGCACCACCTCCGCTAGGCGGCAGAGGCCGGGTGCAAAAGCCTATTTATCTTATCTTATCTTTTCCTACATTATATTTTTTATATAGTATATTTCTTATCTTATATTGTATTATTTTGTCAATTTGTATTATATATAGATATATATATATATATTATACATATATATATATATATTTTTTATACATATACATATATATATATATATATTATCGTATATCTTACTGTATTCTATTACATTATGTTATATTATATTATTATGTTTTGGGGTTCAATGGCTTAAGCGGCTTAGGGCTTTGGGGTTTGCATGGGGTTTCAGGATCTCGAGGCTTGAAGGTTTAGGCTCCCAAAATACAGACTGAAGTGGTTGTTTAAAGCTAAGTTCAACAAGGGTTAGCGTAGTCACATGCAATACAGTCTTCATCGCAAAATCGCCCTGGCCATGACCATCATTCAGATCCATCAGCATCGCTATAGTCCTTATGAGCGTCACGATATTGTCCGCTTCAGCAGAATTTTGAACTCTTATGCAGAAACCGAGATCGCAGGATCCTTACTATACAGACCCCCAACCCAGAACAGTAATCGTGAATGTTGAAAAACCCCTTGGTTGGAGATCTATAAGAAAAAGAGGTTGGCAGTCCTATCCCTGATACACTCCAGCCCGTCTCCAAGATGATCCCTAGCGGAATTCGCAAGTTCTTTCGAGGCAGAATCGCTGTCGCAGCCTTAAGCGTTGCGCAAGCGTGTTCAATCGGTAGCGGAGCTTGTGCCGGCTCAATTGTGAAGCAACTGGCAAGCAGTACTGCAAACACACTCCAGGCGCGAGCAGGTTTCGATTGGGAAAAAATCCTGAGATACCCCTGCCCACGAAAGCCCCCCTCGGGATTGTCCCTGAGATGCCGTTTTGCCACTGAGGGGTTCTCAGTGCTATCTGGGTCTCTGAAGGGGGGTCTGGAGTGAGTGTCGTGGTTTCGATCTTGAAAGAGAAATGAAATCCATGTCAAAACTCAGTGATGATCGCATATGGTTGTCTTTTCATGCGGGCTGGATCAATCAGACAGCCTGCGCATTCAAATGTGCTGGGTACCCTCCCCTCTCCTCTCCCCTCCCCTCCCCTCCTGCCTTCACCCCCCTTCTCTTCCCTCCTCTCCCCCCCTTACTCCCACTCCCTCCTCCCTCCTCCCATATAAGTATTGTATATGTACATGTATATGTATATATGTACATGTATACGTATATGTACCTGTGTGTTACAGTTGCCCTAGCCCTTCAAATGCGAAATCCTAAATCCGAAGATTAGAACCCCTAGCGGCGCATGTGCAGCCGCCCTAACCCCCAAATCCAGAATCCCGAACCGAGCGGCGCAGAGATCGCCGCCCTAGAAGGCCCTACAATCCCAAACCTCAAAGTAGGGCGGGCCCCGCGGGGATCTCTGAGAGGAGCCCATCAGAGGTGGTGACCGAGGGGGCTGAGGATTTGCCAGGTTTGGACGCGTTTGCGCGCGCCCGGCGCGCCCGGCGCAGGTTCATCTTGGGAATCTCGGGTTCTGCTGTCTGGACAGCGGCAGATGACACAAGCGATACGATGCATGTGTCGCAAGTGGTGCAAGCGTGTTGTCCTTATCGCCGGGGTTCAAGATGACCAAGATGACGCGTCAACTTGCCCCTGTATCAGCATGGCAAGATGATCCAAGTTGACGTATCATCTTGCCCCCCCGCCAGATAAGTCCCCTGACCAAGATTACCAAGTCGATTCACGGTTCTGGCACAACGCAGTAAAAGGTCCAGATTTACTCATACCCCAAAACCCTAGTCTAACTACGAAAGAACCTATTGTTTGGAACTTTTTGCGACCCTCTCGGGGCCTGGAAGCGTCAGCGTCAACTCTGAGCCGTCGATGAAACCCACGGACACCGTCAGGGATCCGTCCGACCCTTCATTCAGGGCGGAGGGTTCAGCATAATGGCACCTGATTAGAAGACCCATGATGGAGCCGTTAGTAGGGTTTAGAGCTCAGGGCTTTGAGCTAAGGGGCTTAGGAGGAGTGCTGGCTTTAGCTTTAGGGTCTAGGGCTTTTGAAGTTCTTATAACCCTTAAGCACTCCAAACCCTAAGACCTTAAAATGTCCAAGCCCAAAAGGAAGCCCTTTTTGATCCCTTACAAAGGAGCCCCTATGTCCTATGTAGAGGCGTGCTACCCTGAACGCCTTCATCGTCACCAGCCTGGGCCGCCTGGGCCTGGGAGCCTCCCTGAGCCGCTGCTTTGGACTTCCCGGCCGCCGAGCCCATGGCGAGAGCCAAGAGCAGCCGCTGCTTTCAACTTTCGTCTTGGTAAAGTCGCTGGGAGGGCGGCGGTCGGAACTCGAATGGGATTCTGTCTTTCTGTAACCGCGTTTATCTCATGCGTGGCATGGCTTTTGCTTTGCATGAATTGAAGCTTGAGGGGCTTCAGGGTTCCGGGAGTTAGGGTTCCCTGGTTCTGCAGGCCTGGTGTTGAAGAGTTGTCAAGGCCAAACGGGCTTAGTCTTTCAATCGCCGCGTGTTGCATTTGCAAAAAAAAGGCTAAGGATCGCCACTAAGCATGTGGCTTTCCGGGAAATCGGGAGCATGAGAATCACACATATTGGCCATTGATCGTCGACCTGCATTGAAACAAAGGCAGATGGATCGGTGCGTAAGTAAACATACAGAGAACCAGAGAAATACAGCAATAGATCGTTTGACTGCAGTACCCTATGCTTTCATGATGAAAATAATGATGGTGGTTACGATTCTGATGATGATGGAGATGGTGAACATGATGACGACGATGATGGTGGTGGTGTTGGTGAAGGTGATGTTAGTGGGAAAGATGATGGCCATGTACATATAGATCTATGTGAGTGAGTATGTATGTATGTATGTATGTATGTATGTACGTATGTATGTACTTATGTATGTAACTAGTGAAGAGGCCGGAAATGCAACAGTAGATCATTTAGCTGCAGTATCTTTTGCTTTCATGATGATGATGGCGGTGATGATGACGATGATGATGGTGGTTGCGATTCCGGTGATGATGGAGATGGTGAACATGATGGCGCGATGATGGTGGTGGTGTTGGTGAAGGTGATGTTAGTGGGAAAGATGATGGCCATGTACAATGTATGTCGGCGTGTGTATGTGTGTATGCATATGCATGCACGCGTGCATGCATGCATCACGGATGTTAGTATGAAAATCTGCGAGGCACGATGTAAGTATGTATGAACGTATGTATGTACATACAGTATGCATATAACATTATGGTGTGTTGTTTCATGTTATGCTATGTTATAACGATACTGTACTATGCTATACTATTAATGTATTATATTGTGATATATTTTCTTACGTTTTTTGTGTTTTACTCGAATATATTCTGTTCTATTCTGATCTGTTCCCTGATATTATGTAATACTACATCATTTTATACTGTACCATATTCTATGTACATGTATTTTACGTGTATGTACATATAGACTTAAACATGTGTATGTATATATACATACATACACATGTACATATACACACATGTGTGTATGTATATGTACATACATATGCATATCTACATATGCCTGCCTGCATGCACGTATGCATGCAAGCATGCATCCCTGCATGCACGTGTTTGTGTGTGTTTGACCGTCTGTCTGTCTGGCTGCTCTGTCTGTCAATCTGTCTGATGTATGCAAGTCAGTACATAGGTATTCATGTATGCATGCTGGTACTCGGCTTCTTTTCTAATTGCGTGCTGAATCGGCTAGGGTAACTACAATCTACAAGCTACGCTGGCCATTAAAAGTGCCGACCCTTTCCATCTAAAACAAAAGACGCTCTAAGCTGCAACAGCCGAAGTCTGAAACACCTAACCCGCAGAAACTCTCCGCTCTCCTAGAAATATATTCGTAATAATGGGAATGGTAATCATAGGTCATAGTCATAATAGCAGTAATCGCAAGTGTCCCTGTGGCAGGGCACTGCTTCTTGTTCAGCCGCACGACGAGGCCGATCCCGGCATCCCGGAAGATGGGAACGTAGTCCTGTTTAGGGACTTGAGGCGTTAACGATTTGGGTTGTGTCTTTTCTTCGGTATCTCTTGTGTTTTAGGGGTTTAGATTTCAATGGTATAGAGCTTGCATCTGTTTAATATGTGTATATATATATATATATAGAGGGCTTTCAGAGCTCAGGGCTTTAGGGCTTGAAGGGGTTTAGGGACTAGAGGCTCTTGGGGCGAGGTTCGGGGTTTAGCGTGCTGGGCGTTTCTCTAAGCTTTGTCGCTCCTTGTTCTTGATTTCGGGGGTGTAATGCCAGGGTTTTGAGTGAGATTGTGCAATTCTTTTTGTGAGACGGAGGAGGTGGGCTTCCGGCTTGAGGCTTTGGGATTTCGGGAGGATCTGAAGTTCGGGTGCAGGGTTGAGGTTTTCTGGGTTTTGGTTTGGGTGTCGGGCTTGGGATTCTGGTTTAGGGGACAGCTTTTACCTCGTAAGGGTTCCCGGTTTAGGGTGAGGGTCTGGGCAGGGTTCAGAAGTTCAGTGTTTGCGCTCTAGCAGCTTCGGAACTTCGGGAGGAACAGGGCGCTGGAGGACTGCCGGACAGGAGCATCGTGGCAGATCCCTGTCCTCTGGCGTGAAGGCAGGGAACCTTGCAGCATGGACAATCGAAGCCGCAAACGGCTTCGACTGAAGTCTGCCTACACCCTGCTCAGATAGTAGTAGTAGTAGTAGTAGTAGTAGTAGTAGTAGTAGTCGTAGTAGTAGTGAGCGGCAGTACGCTACTTTCCTGCGGCTGTTCCAACTCACGCCTGATGTACACAGACAGATTAGACTCAGCTTTGAAATACCCCCGCTTCGTATTCTTCGTTGTCCAGTGTTTTCGTCCGGTGCCGTGGCTCCGGAGCGGCTAGCGACTCTGGCCTTTACTCTGGATCTCGGCTCTGTTTTTGGCAGGACACATCAACATCAACAACAGCTTCAAGGCGCGAGCCTGGAGGCTAGCGTCAAGAACTGTGTGCTTGCAGACATGCCCCTGAAAGCTTACAGGCTGTCGTGCATCGCATTGTACCGAGTCGCGTTTGCAGAACACTTGTGCAGTTTTGGTCTGCCCGCATGACACAGACAATCGCAAAGCATAACTCCTGCAGGCCTGGGCCTAATCCTTATGCCACTGATTCCTGCAACCGCAACCCCCTGGGGCCCCAAGACCGCAGACCTCAAGGCCCACAACCCAAAGGCCAGTCCTCTACATGCAAATCCTGACCTTGTAACAGGGTGTGGCTTGAACCGTAAACCAAACCAGCAGCCCCGTACAACATTCTTCCTGCCACGAGGCCCGTCTGCGTCGGTTGAGGTAGGGCTTGGCCCGGCAAAGGCCAGGAACTTGTCCTCGGCATCATTCTTGTGATTGTTACTTTCACGCTGAGTTACCACCAGTACAGTACTATTGCTATTACTGTAGCCTATAGAGCTAGGGAGCGCGAGGAGCTTGGGGTTCAGGTTCATCAGGGCGCTGAGACTCTTGCTCGGATCTTTTACCATCAGCAACACCGCCGGTCTCATCGTTTCGGTCACTGTTGCCTCTCATACTGCTCAGTTGGTGTTTTCATTGTTCCTGCTTAGATACGCCTCGCGCTCATTACTTCATTCGCATGGCTGTTGCATTGTTGGTGGTCTGTTTCCTTGAACAAGGTGATGGGGTCAGCACCACGAAGAAGCTTTTGTCTTTCCATACTCGTGCTGTAAATGGTTTCGGGCTCAAAGGTCTCGGTTCAGGCGGAAAGGAGGGTCTTGAAGCAGACCCTCTCTTACGAGTGTCATGTGTTCATTCCTGGGTCTAGGGTTTCGGAAACCCCTATTCTACGTTTTCAGGCCCCATACTTTAAGGCTGTCTCTGAGGTTGCACCGAGTGACTGGGATGATCCAGTTCATATCCCCGTTCTCCACCTGCGAGGGGTAGTCGCAGGGTGCCGGGTCAAGGAGATGAGTGCAAGCCTCTGTTGGACGATGTACGTGTTCGGGTTGCAAGCCCGAACCCTGAACCTACGCAAAGCCACCAAAAACCCTGTACTGGCTGCAGGACCAAGACCCTAAAGCCAAGAGCGCTAAATGCTCACAAGAATCTCTCCAAAACGGAAAGCTCGGCTCAGCGCACTAGCCTACTTCTTTATCGGCACTCTTCGACGGTCGCTGCCGCACTGCCCAAAGCGCAGCGATAACTCCCCCAGGGAGTGGCCAGTAATGCGGTGAGTCGACAGACTCTGCGGCGGGATTCGGCCAGCAAGAACGGCGCAACCTATTTTACGAGGATCTCACAAGACCGGATGCTTCAAGACAAGAACAGCCATTCCAAATGAAGCGCGCAACCTTTGGTTAAACGGCATAATTAAGTTTGCACTATACTGGTAGTAACTGGTAGTTTCACAGGTGCAGCCACCGCAGCGCATCCCCGGCTATGTACAACTCCTAGTCTCCCGCAGTGGGCCCAGAGCTGCGGCTTTGATCAGCTCGAAGCCATTAAGGGCTTCTCTTACGAACTTTTCCGCAGTGCCACTCCATCGTTAGTCCCCAGAGAGAGCATCCTTTCAAACCATGTGACCTGTCATCTCGCAGCCTAAGTAAGATCATCTCTCTGCTTAGAGCCTGTCCAGCACAGCAGCCCGAGGCCTTTCACAAGGCCGAACGCCTTCGTTCCGGGACGCCCCCCTCACGCGCGAGGCCCCGAAATCCTAATCTCAGGGTAGAAACCGCACTTGTCTTGGCTTAGGCCCCCGAGGGTCCCTTAAGCTCTCTGACACATAAACCCAGCAAACCCCGAGAGAATGCCAGCAGCATGATCTCCCTGGGCACAGGTTACCCACACCCCGGCTCAAAGCCAAGGCTGCCAGCCTGACAAAATCAGGGTGATGACTTGTGAGCACATACTCACATGTGTGTATATATATATATACACATACACACACATATAGATGTGTATAGTATATATTATACGTGGTGCATATATCTATCTATACACACATGTCTACTTATGCATTCATATATGCTCTCAGCAAAGTGACTACATAGAACAATAGCAAATTAGCCAAACACTACATTCAGTACACAAACACATAGACGCATGTGTTGCAATATCTGTAGCACATGTGATCAAGCGTAAAGCTGCATGCTGTGCCACATGCATTGTCAGGACGTTTTTAAAGCTTCAGGCGTCACAACAAAGTACTGAACATAGCAACAGTTAGAATGGAATTGCAACGCACATCTGCAATGATAGGC